CTCATTTGATTCTGTGTAAGATGCTCACTGCCACAGGATTTTTTCAGAGATATATGTTTTCAGAACAGAATGCGATTGTTAGAATTGTATGTTTTGTTGAAGTAGCAATTTCATTTTGCATTTTGTTTGTTGTTTTTGTCAGGTGGATAATTTCAATTCAGTTTAGTCAATGCACGATTTGAAGGATTCGATTTCCTGTTTAATTTTAGTCTCGTCCAATGCCCTAACTTCTCCAACAGCCTGATTTTTTAAACTATTTTTGGCTTATTCAACTAGATAAGACAAGAAACTGTCCATATGTGTCATGTTTAATATGGTTTTCTGATGTCTCGTTGCACTAACGCAAATTTTAACAATCAGGCTACTAGTTTACCCACCAATCAGATTCTAGCAACTGAAAGTAAAATGCCGTGGCCAAAAGGGGCGCTTGATAAATTACTTTTGTCTTGACATTTATTGTGTCCTTACTCCTCGAAAAATTTTCATCTTCATTAACTTTTGTAGCTCCCAAAGAACTGCTAACGTAGCTTTTAAATTTGGTGATCTGGCCAAATAGCTCTTCAAATTTCGAGCTGAAATCAGGACCTGGCTTTCATCACTCAAATATCAACTGGGGCCTAAAGTTCCCAAACCAGTAATCTCAATTGCCTTGTCTAAAACTTAGCAAGGATTCTGATTTCTCTGGAGGCGTTTGGACCTGTGTTACAGGTCTTTCTCTTTTTCTCTCGATTGTAATGAATATTTATTGGATATTACCATAGAAAGCCTAACTGGTCTGGCCAAATTTTCTGACACCAGGGTGGAGGTAGTTAATTTGGAGTATCAAACGCATGGTCTTGGATGTAAACGGATGTTTTATTTTGGTTCTATCATTTTGCTTCAGGTAAATATTTATCGTCTGGTCACCAAAAGCTCTGTTGAGGAGGACATTGTCGAGAGGGCCAAACAGAAAATGGTTTTAGACCATCTTGTCATTCAGAGAATGGACACGACAGGACGGACGGTCCTGGAGAAAAAATCCGGTTCTGCCTCAACGCCTTTCAACAAAGAAGAACTAACGGCCATCCTCAAATTTGGTGCTGAAGAATTGTTCAAGGATGAAGAGGCAGGAGATGAAGAACCCTACGTAAGTTCCTTTTCTTTTTCTTCCGGTATTTAGCTGTCACTCGTATGGAACCATAGGTTTTTTGGTGGCTGGGTAATGCACTGACATCCAGGGGAAAAAGTTTATCCATCAACGTCTGAAGAGATGATGTTTTAATCATTTTTTGAGTAAAGCATTGCTTGTAACACCGTTCTTTCTTTTTTGGGCTTTAAAGTGTTTCAACTTATTTCCTCATGGTCATGTTTTTGCCTGTCCAGCACATCCATAAAATCAGCACCTTTTGGTTTCTCAGAATATTTCCAAGACTTCTTCAGCAATGCTATAAAAAGAAAAAGTTGATCTTTTTATTGTAACCTGATTGATAGAAAAAAACAAAAATAGTTATTCTGCTCTGCTGCTGAACATTTCAAAATCTTTCCAACAGCAAAATCAAGTAAAAGGAAATGAATGTTAGGACAAGTACAATTTCCAAGTATGATAAAATCAAATTGAGAATTTGCAGATGTCTGAAATTTTGTGCATTACATCTTTAAAATGATACCGCTAGGAAAACTGAGTGCGAGGATATCAGTGGTTTCTTAAGTGGACGATTCTTGGAGAAAATATGACAAAATAACCTTATCTGCTGAAATACACGTGTTTTTATGGAAAATGCCGCCAGATGACGTCAGAAGGCGGCACATTTTCTCACTTTTAAATCTATTTTTCTCCAATTTCACATGTCAGAAAAAAATTATGAAAAATACTGGAAACTCAGCTCAATAAGCACTCTCAGATGAAGCAGTAAAATTTTTATGCGCAAATTTTCCATAATTGCGATTTAGTAAAAGCTTTTACCATAATCTTCAGACATCATCTTTAGTATTTTGAACTGTTAGTCGGTATTACCATAAACCTATATAAAAGCCTCTTTTTCATTTTGTGGAATCAATGTAACCTGTTATTTCCCCTCTCATTTTTTCGTGACTGTGTTATAGTAACCACAGCCTAGAATAAGTAGGGAACAGCTGATGTTGTATTTTTTTCTTTCCTTCTTTTAGGTTAAGAAGTTACCTTTATACTTCAGAAAGGATTTGTAATTTTATTGAAATCATAATTGTGAATTGATTTTTCTAGTGTGATATTGATGAAATTCTTCGCCGGGCGGAGACACGTGATGAGGCTCCAGCTACCGTTGGAGATGAACTCTTGTCTGCGTTCAAAGTAGCCAGCTTTGCCGCTTTTGAAGAGGAAAAAGACACTCAGAGTGAACATGACAATGATGAAGAAAGCAAAGATTGGGTGAGTTGTTTGTCCCTCAGTAATTACATCCTTCAGAAGTCTTAGAAATTCAAAATAAGTGTTATGACATCCTGCTAAATTCATGCATTAGTTGAAGAGATATTATTCAGGATTTTTGATCCTTGGAAAATTGTTGGTAATTTTTTTCTTCTATTTTTTCTTCAACTTTTAAATTCTATAATGTCTTTAAATTTTACATCATCCTGTGATTTTGTTTCTGAGCTACAAACAGATTTTTGGTCTTTTTTTTTTTTTGTCATGGAGACTTCCGTGATTGTCAAATAGCATCATCTCATGAAAATTATTGGTAGAGAATACAAATAGGAAACTGACTTTTCCAAGACATTCTTTAAATCTTTATAATATTTTTACAGCCTTTAAATGTCTTTAAAAATGTTTAATTAAACTAGTTTAAAAACGTAGACAACCCATGATTTAGAATTCGTAAAATTGTCATGAATATTTTATTTCCTTGCATTAACGAAAATTATGAACATAGTGATCAAATACTTCTAATTTTAACGTTTTAATTTTTCACCTCAGCACAATTCTCTTCTCCCGAATAAGTAATACGGACATTTTCTACACTCTCTTCAGCTTATGTAAATGTATGTTTGCTTCCAGGATGAAATAATCCCGGAAGACATCCGGCAAAAAGTTGAAGAAGAAGAAAAAGCCAAGGAGATGGAGGATCTTTACCTGCCACCAAGAAGCAGGAAAACCTTGCAGCAGATCCAGTCTCAACAATCGGACGATGAAGGGGATGGGGGTCGCCGACGAAAGCGAAGGAAGAATGATGATTCAGAATCGAGTGATAAGGACGGAAGTGATGATGATAAACCCAAAAAGCGGGGGCGCCGGAAAAAAGAAGCCATCAAAGGCTTTACAGATGCAGAGGTATTTTCAGATACTAAGCCTATTTTTCAGATTATGAAGAGTTTTGAACCACTTCTTTGCTGGACACTGCCATGCAGAAAAAGCTGGATTGGGTCTTCGCAAAAATTTTCTCACAATATAAATGACAAAAATATATTTTCCGCTCTTCGTTGAATTTTTCTATTTTTTTTTCTAGTGACAATTAAACCCTTGTATCTTTTTTATGTGCACCAATAAAATCAGATATGTAATTGGGACTCGAGAAAATTTTTAAAATGAAAAAAAATAAGTCCTTGGTCCTCAGGCTGACTTCTCGTGAAGATCGACCTTGACTTAAATAGGAAATTCTTAGGTGCAGCTATTAACTGATTGTTGTGTCACTTGATGCTTTGGTCGCATAGTGTGGAGTCTTATGAAGTTTTATCACTCACTATTGATTTCCATGAAAAATCCAAAATCTCATCAGTGTGTTCAGTAATCCTCAATTTTTGAATTTTTGAAAAGTTGAGAATGCGTTAAGTTCACAGGAATTTTTCTGGATTTTTAACAGTATTAACCCACGAAAAACGAGTTCAAAGTTTCATATTTTGAGATCTTATTTGAGTGTGCTTTGCAAAGAAGGCCAAGATGGCGCTCGAAAATATCCTTTTTGCAGCCATGATTCTGGTTATGCGTTGCTTTCTTTAACAGTATAACGAGAAAAAACGAGTTCATAGTTGCATATTTTGATATCTTATTTGAGTGTGCTTTTCAAAGAAGGCCGGAATGGCGTTCAAAAATATCCTTTTTCTTGCAGCCATGATCCTGGTTGTGCGTTGCTTCTGCCACGATCCATGGTCCGTGCAGCTGTTACCAATGCATGGCTGCACAGATTATTCCTTGTGGCCAAGGTAGCATGCGATGGAGATAGTGGCCATAACAATAGGGATGTTTTCGGACGCCATCTTAGATTTCAAGGTGATGCTCATATGAATAAGAGCTCAAAATAAGCAACTTTGAACTGTTTTTTTATGGGTTCATATCGTCCCAAAAATTTCTGTAAATGAAGAGCATTCTCAATTTTCCATAAAGGCAGCACTTATAAATTACCAAGCAAGCTCATTCTTGAGTGTTGCTCTGTTCTAATCAAATCAAGGGCAGTTCTCAAATGTTCATTTCCTTTCAGATCCGAAGATTCATTAAGAGTTATAAAAAATTCTCAGCTCCGTGGAAGCGGTTAGAAGCTGTAGCATGTGATGCTGAGCTGCAAGAAAAACCGTTGGCAGATCTTAGTAAATTAGGAGAGTTGTTGCGCGAACGTTGTCAAGCATCCATAGATGAGCACGCCAAAGAAAATGACACGCTCAATGAAGACAGCAATTTATCTGGTAAGATAATGTTTCTACAATCAGCAACCTTCGCTGCAGCTTAACTGCTGATGGTCCACTCTAGAATGTAAGATACATGTTGTACTTATAGCAAAACAACGTTAAATACACTGAAGCTAACAAATGAAACAGTCAAATAAAATAAGAAACAATATCCAAAAATTAATAACTAATTAAGGTTAGGTGAACACTCAAGCTTCAAAACTAAATTTACTCAATAGTCACCTTGCAAGTAACCTTTGTAGTTTTGGAATTTGACAGTTAAGAAAATAGCATCAACTTTTACATTATTGTTTGCTTGCTTGTTTTTAGGAACGAAGAAACGAGCTCGAGGTATCTCATGCAAACTGAATGGTGTAAACGTCAATGCCAAGAGTGTGATGGCTTGCGAAAAAGAACTTGAGCCCTTAGACACGGTTCTACCTGAAAACGCAGAAGAACGTAGCAAATGGGTCCTAGATGTCAGGTACACCTTGTTACCATTTTCTATTACAATTCCATGGTTTTACCTCTTGTCTGCTCTTTTCTTTTTGTTCAACCTTTTCGGCCTTCCGCAACTTCACCACTTGATATATCTGACTTTTCTCTATTTCCTTTCAATCTTTCATGCAGTGCTGTTCTTAATCAGCTCAACTAGAGGTGAGAAACCCTGAATCAAGTTCCTTTTAAGTAAGGAATTGGTAGTTGCCATTCAGTCTGGTGAATGAATAAGGCATAACACAATTTGGCAGAGAAAATAATAAACGAACAGACCATGTGTACCAAAAGTTGCCTCCATTCAGCACACTAATGCTGTACAAAAACAATTGAAAAATTAAGGATAGAGCATCTTATGTAAGTTTCCAACTTGTCTAAGTTTATGATATTTATGCTGATCGGAATTAAAAATAAACTCCACAACATCTCACCGTGGAAAAAGACACAGGAATTGCTTGAGGGCATATCTTTGGCTGAATTTCAATCCTCTTAAGACTATATTGACGGCTTAAGTCCGCATTCACATATTTCGTTTGCGGTGTCTGAAAATCTCTGCCGCTGTGTTATTTTTTTAAAGGAGAACAAATTGACATAATTCTTTGAAGTTTAAATAATTGCTGTTGAGTAGTTTTCCGTTTAAAAAATGAAGTATGACAGGAAGTCTGCAACGTCGCAAACCGAGTTATGTGATTGCCGACTTACACCATCGATATATGTAACTTGATGTGCACCACATTAGGATTGTTGGTCTGATAACAAGTTGTTTTCGCAGTTTTGAGTCAAGTTCATTAGGTGCTCTGTTACCAACTGATATCAGACACCTAAGTAAATTTAGTGCAGTCCTTAGGCTGAAAGATTTTTTGATCCTGGTATTAGTGTCCGTTTTTTCCACTGCTTTTGAAAATTGACTATTATTTTTTGCCTATTTTCCTGGTGCCACAAGAACAAATTTGTGGGAAAATATTAGTACGCGATGTGTTAAATTTGTTTTCATCCATTTATTTTTGTGCTCACTCTATTTTCAATTTTTCAGAGTTAAATCTGCCAACTTTGATGTTGAGTGGACAGTTTCGGATGACTCTAGATTGCTGCAAGGCATTTACCAGTATGGAATGGGGTCGTGGGAAGCCATTAAAATGGATCCTTCCCTTGGCATCAGTGATAAAATTTTACCAAATTCTGACAAAAAACCTCAAGCTAAGCACCTTCTAAAGCGTGCTGAGTACCTTCTAAAAGTATTAAGGGCGAATATTGACCTTAAAAAAGGGGTAAGTGTCGCTCATTTTCTCAATTTTATTAGATTTTTTGGCATGCATATTCTCCTGTTTTAATCTCAGAGCGTCAGCATGTCTATCGATCTTTAAATGTTGACTAGCAAGACGAGTATTGAAACCATGTATTTGTCTGCTGCAGAAAATAGACCAAGGTGGATTAGAGCTATGTGATTGGTGTAGATTGGATCTGCAGGAAAGCCCTATATCAGGCAGAATAATTGAGTAATTGAAGGCAACTCCTCGGCTTGATTTAAGGCTCTCCTGTGGGTTGCAGTCATCTAAACGATATTGCCGACCAATTACATAGCCTCATTCCATTCTAGCCTTGTTTTTTTCTACAAGCAGATAATTTTAATAATATACTCACTGAGACCATTATGTCTAAAAGCAAATCAATAGTTTTAAATCACCTGCAACAAAAAAAATTATATGCACTCATCTGTAAGTACATTGTTGTGTTGCACATGGCCAAATTTAATCCCAGACGTTACTCTTAGACTTTTGAGCATTTCTTTATGTGGAATGTTTTTTATGGAATATTCCACATGAAAATGAGGCAAAGACAACTTTTTTCTGTAAGCATATCTTAATTTCTGATATCAAGGGAAACTTCACCGTACAAAATGCATGTAGTAATGTATCTGTAAAGAACATATAAACATCATCCCATGAATATCCACAAAAAGTTTATCTTGAATTGAGAATGCCTATTAATTGATTTTATAAGGAAGATAAAGGTAGAATTTTTAGATTGTTTTTTCAAAATTCTTGATCTTTAGGAAAAATTCTGAGAGAAGATTGAAAATTTGGAATAACATGGTACAAAGATGTATGAAAAAAACTAACTATAACTAATATGTATGGAAATGCTACTAAATTTTTATGTGTTTTCATTGGTCTTGGATGTCAAGAAATTCATTTTCCTTTCATACATAATTTTTCTTATCCAGATTCACCCTGCCTTGATCAGGTAGACAATTACGAACGCAAGGTATCATGAAAACCAATGTTTCCTAAAAATAGCATTTGATTGTGTCTCTTTTTTACAAGGTAAATATCCTGTGGCCTCGCATTTCATTTTTTCTGGTTCGGTATTTCTGTTTTCAGATTCAAAAGCCCAAACGGAAACGGAAAACTCGGGAAATCAAAAGCACACTAACCAAGGAAATCATAGACGATGATTCGTCGAATGAGGATGGTGAAACGAATGCCAGCACAGTTGCCAGTAACTCCACTATCTCAACAACGGTTGCCCCGACTGTTGCTGCATCGATTGCTGCTCCAGCAAAAGAAGAAAAAGATGAGAAGAAGGCAAAGCTGAAAAAAGACACTGTCAAGAAAGAATCAAAGAAGAAAGTGAAACCTGTCGGACCAATGCACTTCACCACCCACGAAACCAGAGCCATAGATGTCCTCGGAGATCTCGAACCATCCATCTTCAATGAAGTAAGTTGTAAAAAATTTTCCCTTGCCTTATTTTTAACAGATGTTTGTACTTCTATGTAATAAATCTGTATTTTATTCAAATTGACCAAGTCAAGTCAGGGTGGTAACCGTCAGTATAAACTATTAATTATCAGGAAATTTGATGTTATCAGGCCACAGCTCTGGAAATTCTGAGTGCTTCGAGCATTTTTCTAACATTTGACTTAATTCTTTAAATATGTTGAGTAGGGAGATCAAACGAGGGTCAACTTATTCGCGCATAATATCAGGATATTGTTTAACTCACTTTTTCAGTTTTAGATTGTTGTATGAAGTCCTCTGGTGAGTTAATTTTTTCAATGAATTCACAGGAAATGGTAAAAGTCTTTCCTCAGGTACCTAAGTTTTAGGAATGTGTCCAGATAAGTTTGGGAAATAATATTATACAGTTATCATTGGTAGAAAAAAAGATATGTTTCTATTTTCTTCATCGGATTGCCTTTGCATTCTGACACTTACTTTCTTTTGCATCAACTCTTCCTTTTTCGAATTTACATTGGGCCAAAAAGAAAGTAAGTTTTAGAAAAAAAGATGAAGAAAAGGCGCAATTGTCATCGTGCAAACATGGCCACTTTGAGCGCACAATTTTTCTGATCAATCAGCGGGTACATCTAACTGACATTTCTCCAAATAAAGAGGTTGAATTAGCAAATAAGTATACAAATGAGGAAAGGAACAAATTTTAAAATTGTTTCCATGAGTAATACGGATATCTCTGTTTTCAGTGTAAAGAAAAAATGAGACCTGTTAAAAAAGCTTTGAAAGCTCTGGACAATCCTGACCAATCATTGAAGCCAGAGGAGCAAGTAGTGCACACGCGTCAATGTTTGATCCTGATCGGCGACCAAATCAACACATGCGTCTCTGTGTACAAGGACCCAGATGTCATCAAGCAATGGCGGAGCAATCTCTGGTATTTCGTTTCCAAGTTCACCGAGTACGATGCTAAGAAACTGTATAAACTCTACAAACACGCAGTGAAAAAACAGAAAAGCAAAGAGTCGGATGACAAGCCCAGCGACAAGAAGGAATCAGTCAAGCGCAAGCTTACCGAAGACAAGAAGTCTGCGGAAGCACCGGCAAAGAAGCCGAAAACTGAGCCTGTCGAAGGCAAAGCAAGCGAGAAGGCTGTGAAGAAGGACAAAGGAAGGATGCGGCTGGACAGCGGAGGTTCGATCGGCCCGTCAACCCCGCTCAAGGAAGCTGAGAAGGAGCGTGAGGGTGAGAGGGACCGAGGACGCGACAGAGAACGTGATTGGGAGCGCCTAGGAGATAGAGAAAGGGACCGAGAACGCGACAGAGACCGACTCGCAGCGATGCCGTACAAGTCAGGGATCAGCAGTCCGCTGGAGAGTGCGGTTGATCGCGACCGGTGGCCGCCCGGTGGATCTAGGTAAGTTGATTTCTATTATCAGAGCTCTGTTCAGTGCCAGTTAAGTTTTTTTAGCCCACCACATTTTTCATGGTTTTTATGATTCCAGCGGAAATTGTTGGTTAAAGTCAGGGTTTCTACTATTGGGAAAATCGAGGAAATGAAATTTTGAGGGAAAGCACAGTGATAACCCAGGGAATTTGAAGTTGACTCCGAAATTTGTGCTTATTCAAATTAAACGTTTATCTGTTCGAATATTGATAAGCCTTGTATTTTTTTAGAATAGAATTGTTTGGTAGTGAAGTTAGATAAGGAATTTTATATGGCAGAGGTAGTTTTTCTTAGTCACAACTTTCAGAACTTGGAAGAGTGATCGGTTGACACCTTTGTGGTGAATGAGTTGTAAAGAGGTATTTTATGCAGTCATCAGGGAAAATACAGGGAAAACACAAAGAATTTTCAATTTTCAGATCTTGGTTCTTGAGATATCAAACAAAGGTATTGACAAAGTCTGGAAACTAGTGAAGGCAAGAGAAACATTCATGGAAAAACTTCTGATCCTCAAACAGAAAATATTATGTAATAGACAGGAATATTTTATGGTGCTCAATTTTACTTATCTTTGGAGTCATCCCAACTGGTGGAGAGAAGACTTAGATTAGTCGAGAATATTAGAAGCTCCAAGTTCAATTTGAAAATAACGACTGAAAGTACATCCATTCATGTCGGCAAATCACCGATCTCAAATATCGAAGAATTTTTACTTCAAAGCCTTTAGACACCCTAGAAACGTTTTAATGCATGAAATTTGAAAAACCAATGAACTATCTCTGTAGCTTGCAGGAAACTTTATAAATCAATCTGAACCATTTAATTTTTTTTCAGATGTTTCTGAACATTTCCTAATCATTTAATGTTGGAATAGGAATTTGAAGCTAAGCACACAGCAGATAGGTCAATATCAAAATATATGAATTGAGGGAACCAATGTTGAAGCCCCAATCGCAGAAACTGCGATATGTCAAATTGTAGGCTAATCTTTGTTTAGAATGTGAACATTTATTTTAATTCAGCTTTTGGAAAAATATCTTTCGAGTGTATTTAGCCGAAAGATTTCTCCAAGATGAACGTATATTTTTTTGTTATTTTTTTTTTTTTTGCTAAAAGTAACAAGCAGAACTAGTATTTTAGTGATGCTTCTTTTACGTCTATTTATACTCGCGATGGATTCACCTCAAGTGGCCTAGAAAAAGGTCTTGCCGTCTCACCTCTTTTGTAAGTGGGAAGGGAGGGGGCTGTTGCTTTTCATCTTTGATTCTCTACTTTCAGAATTATTAGTCAAATTTTTAAAAAGAAGACAAGGGAGGCTCACCTTACGGAAAGAAGAGCTGGAAACTAAATTTCCACCCAAACGGCATGGTAAATTAACGATTTTTCAGTAATCTCTGTAGTAATTAGTAATTACTATCTAGTCTGAATCTTATTAATTAATAGCCTATGAACGCTATTCATCTTCGGGTAAGATCAGCTTTTTGAGGATTTTTTAATCTTTTAGTGATGTTCATAATCTTTTGTGTTCAAATTGTAAAGCTATTTTCTATGATTTGAAATGTTTGCTTTATTTTTGTTCAGGTACAATACAGGTAATAGCAATCCAGAGCATAAGCGAGATAGGTACGACAATTATCCTCGCGCTGCTTACCATGATAGGAATAGAGATAGAAATCATCGAATGCCTCCAGATAAACACAGGTTAGTAATAGTCATGAAACTCCTCAATTCTCACTGATGTCAGCTAAAAATTTCCCTGTTCATTTGTAATTTTTAAGACATAGAAAATAGTGATTTGTGGCTGGATCTGTAAAAAGGGGCATTATCTGCCTGGAGAAAATTTCTCTTAACTTTTTTCAAATGCACAAAGGAAGAAAATCTGGACATTTTGGCGCAAGTTAGACCCTGGAAGCTCAAAAATTCAAGATGATATGAGTCCTGCAGCTTCAATAAAAAAATTCCTAGGTTTTAGTCAAACATGGGTTAAGTTTTTGCAAGTTGTTTTCATAAAAGAAGGAAAATATTCACTCCGAGGTAAGGTCCCTTTTCATAGATCCAATCATATTTCAGTTTTTTTTTACCTTTTATAACACAGGTCTGCACTTAAAATTAAAACAATGAACGAAACGTCTGCACTAATCGAAAACTGGAGATTTGATATTCATCGGGTAGTTCTCAGCATTGAGTTGGACAATGACCTTTGTTTTCTCCTAACAACAACCAATTGGACCGCGTCTAGTAGAAAGGAACCAAGCCACATCAGCTATTGCCAAATTGAACCGGGCATTTTAATTTTTTACAAGAATACATTTGTGCAGATTCCTTTGAAAATTTTAAGGGATTTGCTTCGTACTATGCAGAAAATTCACTGAAATTTGTCCAAAAATCGGCACAACCATTCTCATGTAAAACATTAAATTGCCCAGTTCAATTTGGCAATACTTGATGTGGCTTCGTTCCTATCTGTTGAACGTGTCCAATTTTAAGCCCATGGAGATTGAAGGCCTTTGTCACGAGGATAATTACGCAATCCCACAGACATATGGACCGCGTTAAGCAGAAAGGAACGAAGCCACATCAGCAATTGCTAAATTTAACTGGGCAATTTAGTTTTCTCCATGAAAACGGTTGTGTGGATTTTTGTGCAAATTTCATTTAATTTTCTGCATGGTACGAAGCAAATTCCCTGAAATTTTCGCACAAACCTTCTTTTGTAAAAAATTAAATTGCCCCGACAAATTTGGCAATAGCTGATGTGGCTTGGTTCCTTTCTGTTAAACTTGGTCCATATAAGCCTGTGTCACGTTTTCAATATTTAACTGATGGTTTCCAAGTTGTGTGATTGACCTCAGCATGTTTTCTTTGTCCCTACAGGTATCATCAGGGACCTCAAGGGGCACACATGCAGTATGGGAACCACTATGGTGCTCCTGTACCTCATGGATATTACCCGCCAACTGACCAACATGGACCTTATCCGCGCGAAAGGTACCATGGGCCAGCACCGTACGGTGACTGGCGCACACCGCCCAAAGACAGGTCCGACTTTAGGAGAGACTACGAACGAAGGCCTGCCTCTAATACGTAACACCTCTCTTTGTAAATTGCTTTAATTTTTGTACATTTTTTCAAACTGAATCATTGTAAGAGCAACACTGGTTTATTTTTAGACAAGTTCTTGATCCGTCAAATATTTATTTTTGTATGATTGTCTTCATTATGCCTGCGTAATGACTCCAGTTTTTAATTTTTGTAAAATTGCTCCGCTGGAAGTGCTGCAAAAAAATGAAAGATAAAAAAAAAAAGTTTGATTGGAGGCACCGTGGTCGGATCCTCTAAGACCTTCAAATCTTGATCTCAAGGTGTTCTGAATTTTCTTAACAAATTTGGGATCTTCTTTGCTGCAACTGAAGATTTTCTCTCATATTGAATTTCTGGCTGTGGAAGTTTGCTCTTATGAGTTACAGAATCCAGCCTTCCTTCAGAGACTCCATGAAATTTCCCGAATTTTCCAGTATCAATCGGAGGAATTCAATTTCTCATAAACAAGGAGTCATTACTTTCAAGACTAATCCACACTGGTCAGCCATTCCTGAAGACAAGTTTTGAGACCTTACTGTGCATTACGGTGGGGAGTTTAAACGCACTTCGTTTCTTATGGAAGTAGCCAGTGTGATGTAACATTGAGTGGTAGAGTGAGAGCCAAGCGGGCGCGTCAATTCCTATAAGATGCGCAATGACTGACCCGTATGGATTGATCTCGATTACTTTGTTTACTATGTATTTCCTTTGGATTCGTGTGCAATCTTTGAGAATTGGTGAGAACTTGGAATTTTTTAACGAAGGTTTCTGTAAAAGTTTTGCCAATAGTCTCAAGCTCTCACACTAAGTAGAGCACATCAGCAAATATTGATTTTTTTCTTCTATATTTATCCCCTTGAAAGTTCTAATGATTCTACATCGAAAAAATCACTCAATCAAGTAATCTCTCTCAAAAAAGTGGCAAATCGTCCCTGAAAGTATCTACAGATCAATTGAACCTTCAACGCATTTTGAACTCATTGCATTATCAACAGCAATGTAAGTTCTTTATAAGAATCTTTGGCCCTCCGGTTATTCCATTTATAAGTTCATGTGTACAAAGTTTGGTTTCCAACACCACAAACGATACTCATTATTTCTACTTTGGATGATATTAACGTCCACTTGGATATTGTTCTTCAAGATTTAGTCTGATCCTTGCAGCTTTCTGTCACCTACCTTTGCTCAGTTGATGTAAACCTCTCTCTCTGTTCGAAGGCCAAATATTTATTGTATCACTTAGTTTAATTCTGGAAACACATGATTCAACTTCAGTTGATCTTGAGGTAGCTGTGGAAGAATGTTAAATGCTTTTTATTCTTGCCTGAAAGATAATAGTCTTGAAAACTAAGAAATCAGTTTCCAATGCTCCAGCATTTACTGTTTTAATTTCCCAAATGAAGAAAATATCAAACACATTTTTTCATTGATGCCCTTAAAATTGAGGTACATGTTTTGAAGGGCAAGCTAATTTTGTTCTGTCTTTCGTAGAGTTCAGCCTGTGATAGTCATAATTTGAAAGACTACGCTTGCGTTTTGTCACTTTTTCTATGAGTGATGCCATTCGGTGCATTCTCAGGGATCATAAAGCACTCCTTTTGGCTCTGATTCACACTAAAGCACTCCAACCTTAAAATTCTCATCAGGTTTATCTCAACTTGACGTCGTTTAGGCCAACATTATTGGCACTAGAGTGTGGAATATCCGCAAAGTAGGCGGGGGCAATCTAGTTAATTATTCCTAATCTAAATTGATTTTGACTGAAATTGCTTCATGGCTGTGTTTTAAAATTTTCTGCCTCTGATAGAAAAAGCACCAAGCTTTTGTGACTTATTCGGGTAAAATATCAGCAATTTTCATTTTTATTTTATGTTTCTTGTTTTTGTTTTTAAAAAAAGAAAGAAATGTTTTAATCATTAAAATAATTCGGGAAGTGTTTCAAGAAGGTCGGTTTTCACTCAAACATTAAGTGTATTAATGTTGCTTATCACAGCCCTTGTTGAAAGTTGCATTTCGATGGTGAAACTGCAGTAATACGCATCTTGAGTTGCCTTGTTGCAGACTTATTTTCTGAATAGAATACTACTCAATGTCTTTTCTTGAGGCCCTCGCTGATTCTTCTTCTTTGAGTGAAGAATATTTTGTGACAATTCCAAGCCATGAATTTTGGTTCGGTCTCTCTTTAAAAAATAATGAAAGATTGCAGATTTTGAAACACTGCAACTTAAATATGCAACTCTGTAGTTTCACACTCCATTTGTAATGTCTGGTGATACATTTTGGTACCTGGATTCCGGCTCCTCTTGTTGGGAAAATGAAGTCCATCCCT